CACATACAAAATTTTTTAGTTCCATTAATTCCTCTATTACCGCCCCATTTGAATCATAACTATCCCACAACGTATTATGCCCATTAAAATCTCCACAACAAATAACCTTACCCTCTAAATTTATTGCAAGTTCCTCTATGTTTTCCAATGTTATTTTCTTACACGGATTATAATAATTTACTATTTTAATATTTCCTTCATTTGTCCAAACTTCAATTACTATAAATTCCAATTCCTTTCACCATTACCGTATAATGCATATTCTGTTTGATAAAAATACCACATCCCCCCCATTACCCTTGTCTCTATCTCTCCTAACACTATCATAACCTGCTATTATAAAATCTAAAGATGGCTTCAACCAAGTTTCTTGGATGCAAATTATATCCGGGTTTTATTTCTAAATCATTGATAACTTTTGAATTCCTGTCAATTTGCCAAAAGACTCCTTGCATTCCATTGAATTATAAACATTAACTCTCGATAACTTTTGAATTCCTGTCAATTTGCCAAAAGACTCCTTGCATTCCATTGAATTATAAACATTAACTCTCCAATTTGGCTTGAAGACTCCTTCCCCGACTCAAGTCTTCTGGTAATCTGTTCCCAAGAGAGGTTTCTGACTGACAAATTTCTCAGCACCTTTTGTAATAACTTTAATTTTCTCTGTTTTATGTTTTACCTGTTCAGTACAATTGATAACATGTATCAATGAACATAGAAAATTTTATTTTGTTCATAGCATCTCTTTTAGATTTCTCACATTATCCTGGGTTCTTATATCTTTGGCTGCCCCCTCCTTTGTTTTTTCTTCTTGAATTCTTGTCACTGCCTCTGCATAACTTATTACTCTTGGTTTTAATTTGTTGGACCTCCACTGCTCTTTTCCTTACCTCACATCCTCCATATGTTACACATGTTCATTGATACCTCTTTTAGATTTCTCACATTATCCTGGGTTCTTATATCTTTGGCTGCCCCCTCCTTTGTTTTTTCTTCTTGAATTCTTGTCACTGCCTCTGCATAACTTATTACTCTTGGTTTTAATTTGTTGGACCTCCACTGCTCTTTTCCTTACCTCACATCCTCCATATGTTACACTATGATCTCCACCACAGTTACAACACGCTACCTTCACATTTTCCCCACATTCCTCATACCTATGCTCTCCCCCACACTTTGCACATCTTTGTTTTCCTCTACACACTGCAGCAATATGTCCATATCTCTGACATTTGTAACACCTAAGAGGTGGTGGAACATATTCTCTGACATAGTAACTCATGTATCCTATTTTAACCCTCTCTTGAAGTTTTTCATCTTGAAAGTCAATTAACACAGACAAACTGGCAACTCGTTTTCCATTGACTGTTTTATTTAATCGTCTCACATTCATCACCTTCTCTCCTGACCCATTCACTAACCAGTTCATGCCTTCCGCCTTCCTCCAAATTTGCGGACTCATGCGATCTCCTCTCAGATTGTCTTGATCCAGCAATGTTGTCATTTGCTTTCCCGCGACCTCCAGTCCTCCCATCCATGGGCCTCCCCAAGAGCCACACCCAACCAAGCGCACTATTGAGGTGCTGCCCTTTGGTCTTTTTGTACTCTACAGATTTCAACTAATTAGCTATCGTCCCTCCCTCTTCATTAACACTCATGATTCTCCAGACTTGCATTATTGATAGCTCATGCAACTGGGTGATTCTCATTGTTTCTTAAGATTAAATTCTTATCTTTTCTTAACATAAATGCACAACCTTAAACTGAATTCACAATATTTTACTAATCTGATTGAGAAAAAAAAAGTTACTGTAACTTGCCAAAGGTAGATTTTCAACTTTGGTGCCGTTGTCCTTACCACTCCCTGCAGACAAGTGTGCTCTTACAGATATGACGAAATACTATTTTAAGCAGTAAATGACTTTAAATATATGGAAGCTTATTTCCACCTTAGAATAAAAAAATGAAAAAGGTAATTGCAACTTTTTTTCTAGCAATTGTGAGTTTCTATCTCACAGTTTGCTTACATCTCAACGATGCTGACTTTATTCTCCAAATCTACCTCTTTCATTCCTTGGGGGAAATAAGCTTCCATTGAAATAAGTAAGTGAAGTTTATTGAAATCACTGGAGAATACAGAGTTAAAGAGAAACCCTGACAGCTTTTTATTCTTTAAGATCAGACCTCAGACTTTCTCTAGTAAAACATGACTGCTAAAAAAAAAGAGCAATCTGAGTTAACATTACTAAATCAGTTGACACTTAAAGGACAAGACCCCAGCTGCAAACACCAATTTTGGAATGTTTATTTTTTCACAAAACTCAAATACACCAAACTTTTGAACATATTCAGCACTTCAAACTCACTATTAAATACAATTGAAATATTCTGTAGTTTCTTAGCACTATGGTCAAGATACCTTCCATGATCTGTCTTTGATGGTGCAAGATCAAGCATACATTTAAATATATATAAAAAACGTAACCTAAACTACATATGTCATATACATAAAAAGACAGTACAAGTCATTATAATCAGTAATTATGTCCCCACTGGATGAAACAAATGCCTCGTTTATAATGGGTTTTCATGTTTTTGTCTCTTCGCTCCGGCTGGACAGGGCATCACAATATGGTAAGGGGCGTAACATTTCCGTCACATGCTTGAGGTATTCGGCCAATCATAACGCACTGGATAGCTGGCCAATCAGAGCACACCTCGTTTTTCAGACCGTTGAGCTTTGTAAAAATTGATGCTTTTCAGAAAGGCGGGGCATAGAGGACAAAACAATAATGTACAGTATGTAGAAAATAATGTTTTTTTAACCTTAAACTGCATAAACACATTTCATTACACCAAATACACCAAATAATGTTCGTTTTAGCAACATCATATGACCCTTTTAAGCATGCTGACATCATCCATAGCAACAAGCCCTTACTCTGAGCTTAAGACTTCTCTCTATTCCTTAGTAAAAGTTTGTCTCAGCAACTCTTAGCTCAAAACATTTACTGCTATTTAGGAGAACTCTTAGTGGTAAGATAAATGTTTTGTGAATACGGGCCCTGGTGAAACACTACTGCCTCAGGCCCCTAGCTCTCTCGTCCGCACTCAGGCTGGGTAAGTGTACAATGATTTATGTATGTGGTTGTTGTTTTTTTAAGGGAATTTCAGGTTGTTTATTGATCATTTTCACAGCTTTCACACGAGACACTGTCAATTTAATGAGAGGTTGCTCACTGTAGGAGCCATTTTTTGGTTGTTTGTAATTATCTTTCACACCACTAGAGGGTGAATAATGTATTTATGCTCTCAAGTCAACTCAGATCCATGCGCCGAAGAAGGTCAAGCAAACTTTTTGATGGCCTTGAATGGGTTGTTTTTTATTTTTGTTGTTTGCTTTGTATTTTTATTTATCATGGTGGAGACTATAGGAAGTCGACTGATCAGCAGGAGGAAAAGCACGTTATGGCTCTGGTTTAAAAGCAGCGGCTGGATTTGAAAAGTTGTTCGTGGATTTCGTGTCAGGATCCTGCCTTGACAGTCTTGTCTGTCCTGTCTTTGTTTAATGTGTCTTTGTTTATTTTGTACCTGAGCACATGGCTGTGTCTTTGTTTGTGTTGGCCACGTGCTCCTCTTGTCCTGCCTTCCCGTTTTCAATCACTACGCCCCTTGTTTAGTCCTTGTTTGCACAATTGTGTTCACCTGAGCCTCGTGTGCTGCTCCCTTTATATTGTGCTCATTTCGCTGTGGTCTTTGTTGGTTTGTTTTGTGTGTGCATTCTCTTTGCTAGTGTTTTTAGTTTTGTTAGAGCTTGCTATTCAGTATATTGCATCCAGTTTAGTTTTTCTTTTGTTAATTAATTTGTTCCCATGTTTAGTAAATAGTCTAGTTACAGTCTTTGTGGTTTGGTTCTTTATTTAAAAAATTTTTTTTTAACCTTTTGATTGTTTTATTTCTAGTTTTCAGCAAGGTCTTGTGTTTTATTTACTTTGTAGTTCTAGTCATTTATTCTCAGCTTTTTCTGTTTTGTTATTCATTTGTTTTCATAAGTCTCAGTTAATTATTTCTAGAATTTATTACTTTTTCCCTTTCAGTTTTATTTTCATTTATCCTCCCTAGTCATTGTTTCGCAAGCTGTTTCTTTTAATCAGTATTTATCTTTTGTCTCCCCTGTTGCTTTGTCTGTGTCTGTCGAGTTGGTTCCTGCCCTGCTTCTGGAGTCCTCCCGGATTACAGTCTTTTGACTTGTCAGGTAGTTGTGCTTCAAGTGTTACCATCTCCTAGGCCTAGCCTGTGGTTCCTTGAGGAGCTACCTAGTCTCCTTTTGCCTCGGAGTCAGGAGCTTCCACATCCCTGACCTGCCTGTTCTCCTGTTGTGTTCTGGCTTATTGTGTACGGTCTTCCTGCCTCATCCTCTTGTATTCCCATTTTGTTAATAAACCGTTTTCCCTTGTCCATTCTGCATTTGGGTCCTCCCTTGACAAACCGTGACATTTCGCTGTGGATTATTAATAACATTCCTGTAAATTACCGTCAGTGTTCCGGTGAATTCAGTTTCCCCTCACAGCCCCTGTGAAACTTCGCAGTGTTGCCAAGTCTGTGGTTTTCCAGCGGTAGTTTAGTAGCAATTGGGCAGATTTTTTTTTTTTTTTATCCTGGCAACCCTGATCTTCCTGCCTCATCCTCTTGTATTCCCATTTTGTTAATAAACCGTTTTCCCTTGTCCATTCTGCATTTGGGTCCTCCCTTGACAAACCGTGACATTTCGCTGTGGATTATTAATAACATTCCTGTAAATTACCGTCAGTGTTCCGGTGAATTCAGTTTCCCCTCACAGCCCCTGTGAAACTTCGCAGTGTTGCCAAGTCTGTGGTTTTCCAGCGGTAGTTTAGTAGCAATTGGGCAGATTTTTTTTTTTTTATCCTGGCAACCCTGAAACTTCAGTACTAAAATCATGACATTAGGATTTCACCCCGGTTAAGCAAGTCAGCTTATGGTGGTTTTGCTGTCTTTCTGCAAGCAATGTTCATTTCACCGTGTTAATTAGATCATTTGTAATTGAATACCTATTAATGTACGTGACGTCCTGTTCAGCCGCAACCGAGTTAGATTTCCCTGCTAATTCTAACTTTTGCCTGTTTTATGACGTGTAACACAATACGTTGCAATTAGACTGTTAAATTCTGTCGTCAGGGGCATTCTTTTGTTCAGACGCTCATTTCCATTTTATTGTGCATGTATGTTTATCAAACAACTTAAGCCTTGTCGAAATTACAAACTATGTTGCCCAATGACTAGTCTCTCTTTTATTATTTTAGGTAACTCCGTGATGCTCCTGATGTGTTTTTAAAGTGTCATTTAACATCTTATAATTGATAATCCCTTATAATTGAGTTGTGATTTGATTCCTGGTGTCTAAGTTCTACCACAGGTCAGTGTCAATTTCTCAGTGTAGCTAACCTTTAAATTGTGTAAATAGTATAAACATTGTGAATATAATTACATTTTGACTTTATTCCCAGAATGGATCAGACACAGTATGAAATTATATGAAGGTTTATATCCTGCTCAAATATCAAAAGCTGAAAAGTATGTCATTTGACGACGCGCACATCAGTGTATATAGTCCAGGGTAAGACACTGTATTGTTCATTACTGCATTAATTTAACATTTCACTGCTGATATAACTGGTACATTTCATATGTGTATGAATGTTATTTATGTCGATGGAGTACTGTTTTGTCCGCCATAAGAACACACAAAAATAGCACAATGTAAAAGTGGTCAATGGCAAAGAATTTCATGCCAGCAAGGCAGGTGGTCACGGTGGCAAAGAAAAAACAATTCATGCCATTTCCAGCAGGTACTACTGGCCTGGAATGAGTCTTGACATTGAAAAGTTGGTGCGTTTTACTGATCTCACAATTAAATATTCAATACAAACAGTGCTAGTTCCTATTTATAAAAAAATAAACAGGTATGAAATATTTTATTTTACACTATCTACAGATTAAACTGTTCTGCTTGCCAGTCCAATAGAACTGTTAAACTCTAGGAGTACACTCCAATAATTCTTCTTCCTATTCATTGTTTGAATTTTTTCCTAGGTGAGTGAACCATGGGAATTGATTGGCAAGTTGTTGATGACCTCAAAAGGACACCAGTACATAGGTGTACTTGTTGTTTTATACAAAGTGGGTGGAGGCTTATTCACTTGCCTCCAAAACAGCAGAGGAGGTATCATCATGCAGTGTTAAAATTTATTGATTTCGTGCACCTAAATTAATCCTCGCAGATCAAGGCAGGGAATTTGTAAATGAGGTTTGTTTGTGGAATTGCTCAACATTTTAATTTAGTAATATTGCTGTTATGCTTATTATACCAATACGGAATTTTTTTTTTTTTTTACAAATTGATACAGAGAGGAGCCTTTGTTCACCATATCATCCACAAACCAATGGGTTAGTGGAATGAATGAATGGCACAATACAGAGGTAAGATTAGTAATTGTATCCTCGCCAGTCAAGACCAACATGGCTGTGGCATGGCAATGACTGTATGTGCTACACAATGTAGTATCATTAATGGTTGAGAAAAGTGTCAATACATAGGCATAACTACTTTACACACATACACCTTAAGCATAGTACGCTAAAGTAACTTTAATAAAGCAGTAGTTTGATTCAATTACACACTGCATTGCAGAAAACGGTACAGAACATCACAAACAAAAATGCAGTTGTTGTGTACTGTTAATGTACGCTTTTTTTTTTTCTCTCTCTCTCTCTTCAGTGCCCTTGGAAAACTGTGTCAGGATAAGCCAGGGTCATGGGACAAGTACCTTGATGTTGTGCTTTTCAACATAAGGACCAAAAAACAGCTCACTACTAAATTCTCACATTTTTTCTGACATTTGGAAGGGAGGCGTGCTATTTTTCACAGGTAACTGTATCTTTCAGTGTGTTTTTATTCATAGATTTCCTATCTGATATATTGTAATCATATTTATGACTTATTTCAGTATTTTGAAAATGTGAAATTTTCAAATGTCTTTTGTCACCTAGGTAAATGAAACTGTGGAAGATGTGCTGCAGGCAGAGCTAAATCAAGCCTGCCATACAGCTGCAGGACCAAGCAGATGAGGCAGTAAGGAAAAACATGCAAGCCTCCAGGGACAAAATAAAATCGAAGAAAATCACTTCCGGGGCTGTAGTGCACACCTTTGATGTTGGAGAAAGGGTGCTCAGAAGGAATGGGAGAAGCCAGCAGAGGAAAGGAGGGAAATTCGATAATGATTTTTTGGGTCCCTTTACGATTGTCATTGCAAGGGAAAAGCGCCGATTTAATTAATGACAAGGGTGTTGAATTTTCCCCAAATTAATTTAGGTCATTTAGTGCCATTCATTAAGGAAGAACCTCGAATTCCTCACAAGATCAGAAGGTTTCACATAACACCTCCATTTCCAAGCACACATACTCCAGTCCTGTGCACAGCAGCCTTGAATCTGAGCGCAGCATCTCCAGTCCCATCCACAACACCCCTGGATCCAAGCACAGCATCTCCAGTCTTGAGCAAGGCACCACCAGTCCATGGAAAAGTTGCACATCGCACAGTTTTCCCAAACAGAGATGTGTGTGTTTTGATGGCCAAAATTGGGCAATACAAAATATTTTCTATGGACATGGCACGGCTGAACCCTGGTAGAGAGCTGGAAAGTGAGGTAGAGTAATCAGCATTATCAATTTAAAGAACATGCAAATATGCTATTATTGTTAATTAGGGTTTAAATCAGAAAACACCAGCCTTGCTCTTAAAGAGCTGCCATCCTGCAAACTTCACTTCCAACCATGGGTTACTTGTAATTATGAAGTAACTCTCAAGAGATGGAGCTTAATGTCTGCAGGACATTAGCTCTCCAGAAGCAAAGTTGTAAACCTCTTGTTCAGATTCCACCTGGGATTGAGACCTGAATACTAATGATAATCATTCAGTTTAAAAAAAAGTTATATTAAACCAATGTAACACCACTTTTTCCCCTTTAGGTTAATGCATACATGTTTTGCTGTGTGAGGATGCATAACCAGGAGCAACAAGGGAAGGCTTATATGATCGACTGCTTTGCAATGAGCAAAATATGGCAAGGATCATACAAAGGCTTAAGAAATGTATGTTAACGTAATTCCAGATAGAGTCTATGTACTAAATATTTTATAAAACAATCTCCTTATCTAATTTTAGGCAATATTTGTATTTAGCAATTTCTTCTGTTGTTTTTAATAATCAGTGTTTCAATTACTATTGTAATTTTAGCTTGATCCAAGCCAATATGAAACCGTTCTGGGGGTCATAAATGAGCATCACCACTGGACTCTTGCTGTGAGTATTCTTAAATACATCTTTAGTATGTGGCAATAAAATCTGATTCAACTTGTATCAAATGCTTGTCTTTAAATATGTAGGAGTATTAAGTATAATATCCAACTGCCACACTGTCCCCAGTAGCTCCTGCCACAATTACTTAACTAAAATAGAATTACACTGAACAAAATAATAAACGCAACACTTTTGTTTTTGTCCCCATTTTCATGAGCTGAACTCAAAGATCTTAGACTTTTTTTATGTACACAAAAGGCCTATTTCTCTCAAATATTGTTCACAAATCATTGTGGCCAACCTAAGGCACACCTGTGCAATAATCATGCTGTCTAATCAGCATCTTGATATGCCACACCTGTGAGGTGGATGGATTCTCTCTGCAAAGAAGTGCTCACTAACACAGATTTAGACAGATTTGTGAACAATATTTGAGAGAAATAGGCCTTTTGTGTACATAAAAAAAGTCTTAGATCTTTGAGTTCAGCTCATGAAAAATGGGGGCAAAAACAAAAGTGTTGCGTTTATAATTGTTCAGTGTATTAGTGGTGCTTGCTAAGCAAAGCATCACTATTGCTTACTACTTCAACAAAAAACTTTGGCGTGTAATTCCCTTTTTCAATTTGCAGTCACTATCATACAGTTTTTGAATTATTTAATTTTTTAGGTAATTTTTCCCTTCCCAAAAAAGATTTTTTGATCCATTGGGAGAGTCTCCAACAAAACTAAAGAGGTGCCTGGAAACAACAAGGTAAAAAAAATGAAAATTTAGTATCAAAGCTATGGACACAATGGTAATGTGGAACATTAATTAATATTTGTTTTCCTTTTTAGAGCCTTTATGAGGAGTAAAGGCTGCTAAGTTTCAAGGTGGACCTGTGACAGTTCCTCATCCACTGCAACAAGATGGCACATCTTGTGGTGTTTTTGTATGCAAGGTAGGGAAAAATTAGCCTGTTAATTTGAATTGTTTTAGTAATGTTTGTTTGAAATGGTACTTTTTAGTTTGCAGAAAAAATCTTGAAGAATGAAGCAATTCACTTCATAAAACAGGCCAAGGGAAATCTGACTCTAGCGATTGAACAGGATGTTACGTACATTAACACATGCATTTAATTATGTAATGAACATGGTGAAATTAACCTTGTGCTTGCGAAAAGACAGCAATTCAGCCGTTTTGCTTTGCCGGGGCGAAATCATGATGTCATGATTTTAGTACTGAAGTTGCGCAGGCACTGTGAGGGGGGGAAACAGGGGAACTGAATTCACCGGAGCACTGGAAGTGGCAGTCGAAGACAATAGGAGATACATTTCTGTCCAATCCAAATTGTTAACATATCTGGCATTTTGAGCAGGATGTCTCTCTGAAATGTAACTTAATCTGTTCTTTTTTTTTTATTTTTTTATATTAGAGGTGAAGCCAGTCTAATCTAACGTGTGTGTGTTTTCCCCCAAGTTCATCGTTAATAGCCGCGGCGTGTATCATTCATTGTGTGTTTTATTCAAGAGTGTTAGTTACATTTATTTGCACATTTTATGTGAATTAAAGGGGTCATATGATGTTGCTAAAAAGAACATTATTTGGTGTAATGAAATGTTTAAGGTTCAAAAAACACTATTTTCCACATACTGTACATTATTGTTTCTCCTCTATGCCCCGCCTTTCTGAAACGCATCGATTTTTTTACAAAGCTCATCGGTCTGAAAAGCGAGGTGTGCTCTGATTGGCCAGCTATCCAGTGCGTTATGATTGGCCGAATACCTCAAGCGTGTGACTAATATGTTACGCCCCTTACCATACTGTGAGGCCGTGTTCCGGAGCGACAAGACAAAAACATTAAAACCCATTATAAATGAGGCATTTGCTGCATCCAATGGGGACATAATTACGGATTATAACAGGGCCTTTCACACCGCGGGAACCTT